ACCCAAAAAATCGTAAAAGAATCGAATCGGGAAGAAGCATATCGTCCCAGCCCTAAAGTGTATATATATATATATATATATATATATATATATATATATATATATATATATATATATATATATATATATATATATTATGACTTTCTAGGCATACATCGTTTTTTCCCAAAATGTAAGGTGGACCACAAAGTTTCAATAATATGCCTAGTCATATAATATTTGAATAAGGCATACTTAAAAAAATAAAATCAATAAACCAACCGTCTTTTGAAGTCATTTCTGCTCTTCACGTAGGCTTTACGTCTCCAGGTGTTACAGGTGTGAACTCCAACGGTGAAGTGTCAGCAGGTAACCTAACCTAAGTGTTGACGTAGAGCGGGAAAGGCGACACACCTTCATCGAAACCAAAAATACATTCATTTGAGCTATTATTAGGCTACTCACTCACGGGTTGTATGTTATCGCTTAGTCATAATGACGAACCTTTGAGATATCTGCTATATTTGGAGTAGTCAAAACTGAATTACAGATATCTCTAACTGTCGTTTTGACTAGTCAGAATGACGTTATCTAGATATCTTGAATACAAATTCTGACTAGTCACAATGTAATTAGGACTAGTCAAAATGACGTTGTTAATATCTATAATTGTAATTCCGGATAGTCAAACTTAGCTAATAAATTAAGCAGGCACGCGCTGTTTCGACTGTGATGACGCTGAGGTGACGTCACTGCACTCCCATAATGCAACGCAACACATGACCGAAAGTAAACAACAGGACTTCAGGATGGCAGCGGACAGTGACGTGAGTTGTCTACCTAATATGACACTACCACTTCAGCGACACGATACACACATACACACACACGCACACCGAAAAAGCACGCATATTACTGCAGTGACAATAACGTATTTCCCACCCTGCAGCCCGAGACGGAGGTGTTTGAGATCACGGACTTCACTACCGCGTCAGAATGGGAAAGGTGCTGTGAGCAGAGCTCTAGCTAGCTACTCGGATCATGTCCATAAGCTAGGTTTTTGTTAGACACTGCTCGCCATTTGGTGATAACAGTGAGGTGTGGAGTGCTACTGTGTGTGTGTGTGTGTGTGTGTGTGTGTGTGTGTGTGTGTGTGACACCTGATGTGACCACTTCGGTAACCAACGACCCTACTACTAGCGGCCATAACGACGGGAGACACAGACTCCACTTCTTGGGGAAACGGTCCACGACCTCCATGGTCGTGGTGCCATAGCCCCTGTCCTGGTTAAAAACACGACAGTGGGCAACATCACATCCATCAACTGCCACGTACAATGGTTCAACATGGACGACCGTGCGTGAACCGTGCGTGTACGTCAACATGCAGTGACGCGCTTAGTGGCCGTCTCCATGGAGAGCAGTTGGTGCTTATTGCAAGTCACAAGTGTGTGTGCGTGTGTGTGTGTGTGTGTGTGTGTGTGTGTGAAGATACAGCATATGACAAAAAATATAGATGGTACAAGATGAATATAACGTCTTATTTCCCGTCTAAGGATTCATGAGTACGTCTTACCTTCGTACCTACTATGGTTGAGTACATATATATATAGGCTGGATGTTGTTGTTGTTTCTCTCATGTTTATTGTTGTCCTGGTACATGTTCCCCTGTTCATGTCTGACCCTGCAGTGTATGCTCTGAATGAAAAGCAGAGCAACCACTGATGCACCACTTTGTCCCCTGGCAGGTTTGTGTCAAGAGTTGAGGAGGTGTTAAATGACTGGAAGCTTATTGGCAGCTCTGCAGGAAGGTCTTCTCCAGAGAAGGTAAACCCACCATTTTACCGGCCCTTACCTTTTTACCCCAACGTGAGACCACGGACAAGACGAGTTCCTACCTCTTTATACCACGGCTTTGTCGAATACTCGACAAATACTACAACTGTCGACCAGATGTTTCATTGACAACACAAAAACAATATGCTCAAAGCACCAGGGAAGAATATTTTAATTTCAGCAAGTCCTAAAAAAATAAAATAACGTTATTGATGAAAGTATTAACCAATTATCTGATCATCGTTGATAACTGTGGTATAAGTGGATTAAACCACGATAGGTGTCCCGTTATTGGAAGGTTATGTACGACGGGGGTTGTGATGCGGCTGAGGCGAAGTCGAGGTTGCTTATCACTGCCAAAATCTTCTATTCCGATAGTGATATAAATCATGATATAGCATGTTTTCTGGTAATTCGATAAATAATCAATATAAAATAACCATATGTTAAAGCTTATTTTTGTATATTCCTTTGGGAATGAATACTTGTCAAATAAAAATATATGTGTTTTCAATCACTTTGGCTACTGTGGCACTTCCTACTGTAATGCAGCCTTTAAAACCAGGAAAAGACAACACTTATGCCATATCACGATATTATTACGACATCCAAAATCTATAACAATCTAATCTCATATCAGAATATCGATATAATATCGATATATTGCCCAGCCCTACGCCGAAGTACTATAACTTGTACTAATTCTTAATTGTTATCAGGGTGAATACACCAGTGGCACCTGGGAGGAAAAATCTCAGGAGATCAACTTTGCTGACTTCAAGTTCTCTATCATTCACCACTACTTGAAGCAGGAATCAGGCAAGAGTGACCTGAAAGAGGAACTCGAGGAAGGTACAGCAGTGATCATTTAGTATTATTCTGCCAAGGAGATATGGCAAATATAGTCAGAATAAACCATATTTATACTTACATTTACTTACATACTACATTTTTTTAGATATGGGACTGTATATGGAGTGATTTGGATTTGTATAAAGATGATTCATGTATTAATTTAAAGATTATATTTATTTGAGGTATTATTCAAATCCAAAATAAACAAGGACATAGATTTTAGTGTGTAGGAAGTGTTTCAGTCCCTCTGAACTGATCCAAATCTGCTTTATGTGTCTAGATGCATTTCCCTTGGCTATGCAGGACCTCCTGTGTATGAACAATGATTTTCCTCCCAGAGCTCACTGTCTGGTGCGATGGTGAGTGGCACCCTTTATACACACACAGTTTAGAATATCAAAATGATAATATGGTAAATGGTTGATATATACGTGACGGATCCAACACGGATCCAAATTGTTTTTATATACCACAGTCCCAAAGCAGTTTAGAATTTCAGAAAAACAACAAATCATTGAAACATATAGAACACTCTGGGCAATAATTGAATATTATCAATTATTTTATATCAGGAGTGTTGTCTAGTCAAAATGTAAAGATATTGACTTGTGATAGCCACTTTTGTGGTCTTAATTAATTATGATGAAAAGATGGCCAGAAGATTATCTAAAATAGAGCTTTGAAACATCAGAGAGAAAGGGAAAAAATGTTGCTTAAATAATGTGATGGTTAGCGTAGGACGGTTTACAATTCCTTTTTCAATTGGAGATCTATATGTGAAGTTCCTCATATTAATCATGATAATATATGAGAGAAGTTTTTACATTTTTGTCAGTATCCGTCTTTTGCAACCTTGAATCTGAAAGCACAATCAGCCATAATAATTTGATTTTTTGACTTGAATTGTGTGACTCAAAAAATATGTTTCAATCCATTGGTACATTCATGGATGATGTGTAGAACCTTCTTTCATAACTACTGGGCTAATTAGCTGTTGTTTATGTGACAGTACAATGTATTATTGTTTCACATTGGTTTATATGTAGACTTACCGTACTGACATGTATTTTGTCAAGAATTTGCTCCTCAATGTCCATGTTGACCCGGCAACATGGCCCTTCCAACAAACTCTCTAAAAGACAAGATAAGTTAACTTTAACTTTTTTGTCCACCGGCCAAATGGCTAGTGAATCTTCACATTTTACCAGCCACTCAATAGATTACCATTGGTTTTGTGGCTAGTGACTGAAGCAAATCTACCATTCACTTGCATATTTTACTAGCATTTGGCTGGTAGCTGGTGCTAATTGTGCCTCAAATGTATTAACCCGGATTAATAAATTCCCTTGACAGTGGTAGGACATAAAAACAGAAAGGGAAAAGAAGAAAATTGTGCTGTCGGGTATTGACGTTGATGTCCCTGACAGGTATGGCATGCGAGAGTTCTTGGTCATCTCACCGGGGGCCAACTGTGAAGCCATCATCAGCGAGTCCAAATGCAACTTACTGCTCAGCTCCGTCTCCATATCTCTGGCCAACAGCGGCTGGTGAGTCACATTTTAATTTTAACTTTGAGTTTAAGTTAAAACCCAGAAGCGATATACTCTCCGTCCCCCTTTCTGCCCCTTAATTTGTATGCTTTTAAATGTTTTAATGTAACCTTTTATTGATCTTTTTTTTCTATTCCTTTATTTTGTCTTGTTGTAAAGTGTCTTTGAGTGTCTAATAGAAAAGCGTATACAAATAAAAATGTATTATTACTTCATGCTGGACTGCGTTCGTGTAAAGTATGCTGTCAGTAATTACATTTTGTGACTCGTGGCTCTTATTAGAGGTCTTAATGCGAGCAAACGGCTGTGTACGTTGCTGTAACTTTGGTTGTGTGAGTTTAATGGCGCTCCTTACCAGATGGGGGAGCTTGTGAGTCGCTGTAAGGAGGAGAGGATGAAAATATGGCATACCTCGTGACAAATCAAAACAATGAGTGTACGGACGTCGCTCCGCTCATTGTCTCACAGCATTTAAACGTGATGTTGCATGGATGTTTAGGTATTACACCTGCACTTCCTCATTTTTTGCTGTTTATCTCTACAGAACAGTTACAAATTATTTGATCCAGAGAGAACATCACTGGATTGATTAAGCCATGGGTTGATGGGTTATATTCTTCAGAGAAAGACAAACTTATCATTTCTAATATTTTAAACTGAAGGGCATGGGTGCAGTAAAAAAAAAGTGGTACATTATTTTTGGTATAATTCTAAATGGTCATGTTTAGGTATTATCCAAAGCGTCTTAACAATACCGTGAGTGCATACGTTTTTACCATGTGGGAATCAGTGGGAATCAAACCACTAACCCTGGCAACATTAATGCCATGCTCTACCAGTTGAGCTATAGTCAGGACCAAGATTATCAAAATGGAAATGAAATTAGGTTTAGTTATTAGGTTAGAGATGGGTACGCTTTTTAATTTAATTTATGCAGCTTCATGGTTTAATATAATTGTGTCTTAGTTAGGTTAGGTTGATCTAGGTTTGATGTGTGATTCGATGTGGGTTAAGGTCATTATTAAACAATTTCTCAAGTTAATTCCATGTGAGATAGGTCCGGTTCCATGTGAGAAGGAAGAAGTCATTGAGATATTTGCAGTTACATGCGAGAAGGAAGAAGTCATTGAGGTATTTGCGGTTACATGCGAGAAGGAAGAAGTCATTTAGGTAATGTGCTTTTGGTTGTAAAAGGTCATGTAGATGCAGGTATGCGCAAACAATTGTAGCCTACTCATATGCACGTGCATTTGCACGCACATTTTCACATGCATGTGTGCATATGCATTTGCATGCATGCATGTGCGTGGCACATCGATCGGTTGACACACAAAAGAAATACAGATATAAAAAATATCCTTATGCAGTTCTCTACATTATACAGTATGAATTAGCCCTGATAACAGATGTAAAACAACACACAGGTCAACTCTTTAGTTTTATATTATTTTAACATGAATACAGAACAGGTATTTTCGTATTCATTTCTAGCTGCATTGCCATGATGCAAGCCAAGGCATTTGTCCGCCCATTCGTTTTCTAACGTGGACGAACAAATTATTTTCGCCGTTGCTTGCTTCCCTGTAATAGGTCCTATACAACATGAGTGTGGAGTTGATGACCGCAATTTAAAAATAAGGCAAGTTAAGCTACCCAATATATAGAGTAGTGTGTTTCGATAGTAGACCTACAGTCTCACCTTGATTTCCAGTCTCTCTGGTGACACTTTCATTGGCTGTACTCTGCTGGCCACATAATTATGAAGAGAAATGAGAGGGAATATTTTAAAAATCTCAAATGCATGCTCTACTTAATGACAAAATACGGATTCGGTGTGACCACTGCAAACTGGTAGCAATACTGTTTTTGTTTGATTGTCTGGTGTTACAGTTAATGAAGAGAGTTTTACTAAAAGTAAAACACTATTTTCCATATGTTAAGTTAAGTAGACGGAGTATAACATTTTAGTAGAGAACCATCTAGTGAATAGTTTAATGTACAGCTTTACAGAATTTCCTTTATCAAGATGCATATTTTGGAGCCTTTATTTTCCTTGTGCTGAATATGTTAAGCTTTACTTCATGATTGTCTTTTTCAGACTTCATGTTAAGCCAAGATTTTATTTAAATGCTTAAAATAACAACCATTTTGGTCTACTTACAGAGTTAAAATGATGGACTACATTGTTTTATAGATGTCAGACTGTTGTTAGAATAGATGCAAATCATACTGTCCCTGAAAATCATCAGGGGTAGAAATTGTCTGTAGTCAATAAAGCACACTTTGGGCAGTGAAATGGGGAGGGTTGCTAATTTAAATGATCTGTCATTTGTCAGATGGCGACTTTCTTTTTTTCCTCTGAATAATTTATCCAACGTAACTGACATGGGACATCTCACTACAGGTGTAATGACAATGGAGAAGATAATTGCTTCACAGCGACCTTGTACTGCTTTGTAATCGCTGCCAAGTTACTGTGCATCTTCTGGACAGCTTATGCACATCAGCACGTCCCGCCAGCTACGTGTATCCATGGTAACATCCCAGGAATGGATTACTTTTACATTTATTCATTTGCAGCGACTGACTGTTGTGTGTGACTACTGTGAGGTTAACAAGGTTTGTTTGTAACTGCCTGTGGCCTGGTGGGAATGGTCTGTGGCGCTGTAGTTCTTCAGCTGCGTGTCATGACACGATCCGGATCGCAATCAACGCAAAATTTGAATTAAAAAAAAAACACCTATACATTTATTTATCCATTTATTTATTTTGAATCCACACTGTGGAGGAGAACGTTGACTTGGTGTGAGAAAACAACGTCCGAGCCACGCAGGTTTTTTTCTTCTTCATATCCGCACATTGTTATACATCAAGCCGCCGTTTTTTATTTTTTTATTTTTAAATAGAAACATGGTGGGCGTGTGGAGCACTTGCTGTGGCGTCGGATCGCATCGGGTCAATCGGTATCCATAGCAACTGAAATGCCGACAGCAGGCGGCAGAAGCTCGGGTCACATACACCCCCCCCGCTGCTGGAGGATGAAGGCATAGAGGGGACATGCAATACGTAACGGTCACTAATATTCAAATTCTACTGGGTTTAAATGAAATTGGACGTCAGCTGTCCTAGACAATGAATGTAATGGTCGCCAAACTGCACTTATGAGGCATTGCAGTGTCATTAGTGGGTGAGCTCTCCTAACGTTAAAATGCCCGTCGTTATTAAAGTAACCACCCCCCGAGTTTCTCCAAGCTTTGCGTTTATTGGCTGCACTGCCGCTACCGTCTACCTGGTGGCACTGTGGAGCTACTGTAGAAAACCGGCTTGTTGGGAGGATTGTGTGAGGGGGGGGGGGGGGTGGTGGTGAACAACAAAACCTGCTACACCAACGGTATCCACCGGAACAACCTGACACAGACTTACAATACTTTTTTATTAAATCCCCCCCCCAATCCCTCCCCCCCCCCCCCCTCCCGCCTCTGCCCCGGTGTCCGCAGTCAGGTGCCAATGTTTGTGCAGATCCAGCAGAAGTGGAGGCGGATGTACGCCGGGGAGTGCCAGGGCCCGGGCGTGCGCACCGACTTCGAGATGGTCCACCTACGCAAGGTGCCCAGCCAGTACAACCACCTGTCTGGCCTGCTCGACATCTTCAAGTCCAAGATCGTGAGTAGTGTCACCGACGCGTGTCATTAAATAAATAAATAAATAAATAAATAAATACATAAATGCATCATGGGGGGGGGAAACTAAAGAACTGTCACTTGGACGGGGATGTGAGTTCACCACGGCGTGAATCTAATCCCCTTCCTGCTGTCCTCAAAAGTACTCGGTAGCATCTCTGCATCGCGGAGCTACCCACGGCTGCCTTCACTTGCCCTTGTCCCATTTCTCTCCTCTCTCATACCCTTCACTTTCTCTCTCGCTCTCTCACCCTCACTTTCCTCCCTGTATTTCTCGATATAGATATATATTTCTTAATATATGTCATGTGTCACATTTCTTGTATGTATCTTTTTTTTTTTTCTTCTTCTTCTCTTATTCCTTTGCTGTCATCAGGGCTGTCCCCTGACCCCACTGCCCCCCATCACCATCGCCATCCGCTTCACTTACGTCCTGCAGGACTGGCAGCAGTACTCTTGGCCCCAGCAGCCTCCAGGTACACCCAGACACAGCAGGGGATCCTATACCTGCCAATTCCCGGGCCCAGGCTTAAAGAGACAGTTTGCCATTTCTTTCTTTCTTGTTTTTCATCGTTTGTTTGAGGGCCTATCATTCCCCTTTTTTATTGACACACGCTAGTTGCTCAATAAGGAAATAGGGGGGGGGGAGATGTGCCTTTTCTCACAACTATCTTGCCTGCCTCAAAGCTATGAAATATGCGTCAGTAGGAGTTGTTCATGTATTGCGTTTCATACCAGTCCTTTGGCAATAAATTACTTTAAGCTGAGCCCACACAGAGATAATGAGCGAGGGGTGCATTCAATATTTGTTCTGGCAGACTTTGACGCTCTTCTCGGAGGTGAGGTGGGAGGGGTGGAGTTCGGCAAGCTTCCGTTCGGTGCCTGCGAGGACCCAATCAGGTGAGGGCGCCGTAGCCATGGCGACAATGCATGCCTAATTTATCTCATACCCCCCCCCCCCTCCCCACACATACTTGTATTGGTACAGGTTTCTGTATTTTTGAAGTGAGATCTTTCGTGACAAATCAGGGAAAACAACAATAATGTGCCGGTGAGATGGTTGAGTCAAGTATCAAAACCAGAATGACATTCACTCATTTGTTCCTCAGTGAGCTCCACCTCGCCACCACTTGGCCACACCTGACCGAGGGCATTGTGGTGGATAACGACGTCTACTCGTAAGTGTCAATCACAACCACTTCATAATTCATTATTTTTCCTTCTCAAGCCTCGCCTTACATGCGTCGAGAAAGGAAAAAAAAACAAAAAAAAACCTGGCACTTAATTAAATGGCGAACGATGCAACATGTTTTTTTTTACTTAATTAAAATGGAATGCACTCTCACTGACAGCCTTCGTGGTAAGAAGTGGGAGACTTGATGTTTTGGCGGTCATAAAACACGGCTTTGATTTTCTTGGATTTATAACGACGAGGAGCAGGCCAAACTGTATATCTGTTTTTGTCCAACTGCTCTGCAGCCTTGTGATAGCTTAGTCATTGAATAATTTTCATTACTTCCCATGTACCTGACTGTCCAAGGGTGAGAAATATATGTATGTATGTATATATATATATATATATATATATATATATATATATATATATTAGTGGTGGGCATAGATTCATTTGTTTAATCTAGATTAATCTAACTGTAATCTTGGAATTAATCTAGATTAATCTAGATTAAAATGGCGCGATTGTTGACCGGAGGGGGAGAGTGATTGTTGACCGGAGGGGGAGAGGTGCGCGATTGTTGACGGGGGCGGGGGGCAGTAATGACACCGCGAATACGGACGTTTATCATCTTTTTTTTAAATATATATAAGAGGCCCCTGATTGGCCGAGGCCCCGGGCTGAAGCCCAGGTAAGCCCGTGCATTAAGGCGCCACTGCCCAGACCTACGACCGACGGGGGGGGAGGGGGGTCGCCGGGCAGAGGACGCAGCCGTTCCGCAGCGCAGCCGTTCCGCTGTGCAGCCGTTCCGCGGCGCTTACCTTCCTTGGTGGAAATCCGGTATAGACCCAGCTCCCAACCCAACTTTGACAATAGATTAACGGCGATAATTTTTTTATGGCGCGATAAGAGTCTCGCGTTATCGCAGCGTAACGCCAATAACGGCCCACCACTAATATATATATATATATATATATATATATATATATATAT